CAGGCTCATCCCACGCTCCCCCCCAGGCTCATCTCCCCAGACGGACACCCCAGACCCACTCACCCTTGCCCAAGCTGAAGACGAAGGGCTCGTTCCGATCGCGGCTGGAGTCAAATTTTTTGCCGTTGGCCAGTTTGCCCTTGTAGTGGACGTAAACCTTGTCCCCGATCATGGGGGATTCATCTTCGCTCCCAGGTCGCTTAATGATCTGAAGGAGAGAAACCACCCGTGAGAAAGGAGATGGGACAGCTAAGGATGCTCATGGGGGGGGAGAGGGAGAGGTATGCACCCAAACATGCATTTTTATATATATGCACATGCACACGTATAAAAATACACATACACGCGTGCATATACACCCCAGCGCTGCTCCAAACCAAAGGCAGGCTTGAGGAGGACTCATTCCATTTGTCCTCCCATCAACCCCTAAAAATAAATCCCCAACCTGAGCCACGGTGAGGGAGCAGGACGGGGCTGGGAGCAGAGACCGGCCTGTCCTTTGCAGAGGTGTCAGGATAAACACGGCGGTTCGGAGCCCGAAGCGAATACAATTATGCCTGCTGTCGGCCCGTACACATTGGGGTGTGTCACTGCACCGCTCGCTTCTTGTCAACACTTCTTTTTTTTCTTTTTCTTTTTTTTTTTTTTTTTGAATGCTACAGCCTGGAACAAGCAGTTCTTGAGCTGAGGATGGAGCAGGGGAGGATGCTATTCTTAGAGGAAAGGTCCTATTCAGCTGGAGAAGAGCAAGCGCTGGGGAGCAGAACTATCCAGAAACGGCCCTGAATATGAAGCAGGGGTTGTGGAGCAGCCTGGATGACCTCAGTAATGTGCTGTTTCGAATGTCTGTGAGTCACACACAAAAATGCTTTGTGGATTTACAGCTAATAATCTGATTAGGAACACAATAGCAGTGAAATTCAGTGAGCAGCCTGAATCCATCAGTCTCAAACACCACTCCATCCTTCTTTATTCCAAGTGATGCTCGTCTCCTTCGCCATTCAAATAAAAAAGAATCAGTCCTACAGCCCTGGAAGTACTACATGACCCCAAGGGGCTGGGGATGCAGCCCACCGGCATGACCACGCACCCCAAAATGCAGAAAGAAAGGCAGGACCCTCCTGGCAGCCCCCCCGTCTCACCTTCAGGACCCCCCGGTCTCGAGCCGGCGTGATGTCCTCCCCGCGCTCGGCCAGAGCTGCTGCCTGCACCTCCCCTTCGCTCTTGGTGGCCTCATCAGTGGTCATGGTCTCCTTGCATAAGCCCCGGACCTGGGGAGATAACGACGCACACCCCCTCAGGCCGGCAGGACCCCGGGAGGCTCTGCAAGAAGAAAGGGTTAAAGAAAATAAGCGGAGCTCTCTGCTGCGGGGCCAGGGCAGGAAGCTTTGAGCACATCTCCAGCTGCAGAGCGGAAAATCCCTTCCCAGGGGCCATCCAGGCTCCGCTGAACCACAGGGCGCAGGAAACCCCAATGAGCAACGCCGGCCGGCCCCACCACCGGGACAAGGGATGGCCCCGCAGCTTCATCCTCACTGCCCGGGGACAGGGGACGGCCCCGTGGCTTCGTCCTCACCGCCCGGGGACAGGGGGTGGCCCCACGGCTTCATCTGGCGGCAGCAATGGGGATGCTCATGGAGCATCTTCATCTTCAGCCTCCCTAGGTCAACACCACACTCCTGGCGTTGCCCTGGGAGGTTCCCCCAGCAAGAGTTTTACCCAAAAATGCACCAGCAGGTAACGCAGGTGCCAACCGACCAACTCCTGACACCAGCAAATGTGGAAGCTCATCTCAGGGTGCTGCACCCACTGGGACCTTCTGCGGTGATGCTCTACGGAGCATCCTTTTTGATGCAGGCCTAGCACTGAAGCGCCTACATCAGCAGGCAGCGAGGGCAGCAGCGAAACCAGGAGAGATGAAAGCGCTCACGGACGAGAAGCAAAGGGCTGATGGCCACCAAGCTTCACCCATCCCTTCTGGCTCACGTAGAGGTGGGCGCCCCTTGGGTACGGGTGCTAGAAATGTCTGCACCAGGCTTAGCGTTGGTCTTTTGAGTTATTTCATACAGTTCAAGGTTATTTTCCACAAGGAATTATGTATTTGTCAGTGACTGTTATTCAGAAAGCAACACCTCAGCCCCAGGCAAACCTTGCTTTCTCTCGTCCACCAAGAACACCCCAAAAAGAGAGAGCAGGCTCCAAGTCCCAGGCAAGCAAAGCATCACCCCGCATGGAAAAACCTGAACGCACAGCAAGCATCTTCTCCGAAAACTGAAGTAAACCCAACATCAAAAGAATCCCAACTATTTGGGTGGATAAAGAGAAAATTCACATCAAGACTCTTAAGAAATTGGGGGTTTGGGGGCAAGCTGCTGGAGCACCACGCTCCCAACGTCACCGTGCGAGCAGCCAAGGTGCCAGAAAAGCCGCGGTTTTTTGTCAAACGCAGGCTTTTTCCAATGGTGCCTGGTGAAAAGAGAATTGCCTATGGTTTAAAAAACATATTTCCTGATGATTTCCTTCAGACCGTAAGGCTATTTTGGTAGCTGCACTGCTGCGCAGCACGTAATCAAGGAAACATGTGACAGAGAATTAGAAAGCAATGGGTTTTTTAAGACAGAAACCAGATATATTGAAGTCACTTTAATTGCAAAACATTCCCACAGACTTTGGTGTGGAAGCTGATGGTAACCAGCAGAAGAAATCATTCATTTGGGGGGGATTTGAAAAGAGCAAAGGATGTTTTCAGCTCCAAGGGCAGATAAGTTGTGCTGCAAGAATTGTGCTCCTCGCACCCGGGTGGAAAGGGAAGAGCTGGAGCCCGGCCCCCCCGGCACAGGATGAACGCACAGCAAGCATCTTCTCCGAAAACTGAAGTAAACCCAACATCAAAAGAATCCCAACTATTTGGGTGGATAAAGAGAAAATTCACATCAAGACTCTTAAGAAATTGGGGGTTTGGGGGCAAGCTGCTGGAGCACCACGCTCCCAACGTCACCGTGCGAGCAGCCAAGGTGCCAGAAAAGCCGCGGTTTTTTGTCAAACGCAGGCTTTTTCCAATGGTGCCTGGTGAAAAGAGAATTGCCTATGGTTTAAAAAACATATTTCCTGATGATTTCCTTCAGACCGTAAGGCTATTTTGGTAGCTGCACTGCTGCGCAGCACGTAATCAAGGAAACATGTGACAGAGAATTAGAAAGCAATGGGTTTTTTAAGACAGAAACCAGATATATTGAAGTCACTTTAATTGCAAAACATTCCCACAGACTTTGGTGTGGAAGCTGATGGTAACCAGCAGAAGAAATCATTCATTTGGGGGGGATTTGAAAAGAGCAAAGGATGTTTTCAGCTCCAAGGGCAGATAAGTTGTGCTGCAAGAATTGTGCTCCTCGCACCCGGGTGGAAAGGGAAGAGCTGGAGCCTGGCCCCCCCGGCACAGGAAGCCACCGAGACACAAAGAACCCTGCCATGGAAGAAGCAAATAGAAAAATAAGGGAACTGCTTGCTGCAGTGCTCAATTATCGCAGTCTTTGGGGTGGTGTTTAATGAGATTTTGCATCTGCTCCCTTTCCCCGGCTCTGCTGAGGTGTCAGGTGGGAACACCTAAAAAAAAAAAACCCAAACCACTAAAAAAAAGCAACTTTGGTGGTGAGACTCATCATCTCATGGGCATTTAGACATTGGAAAACATGCTATTGGTTACCTCAGAAGAAGTATTTTATGATGAGGCTGGTGAAACACTGGCCCAGGTTGCCCAGAGAGGTGGTGGATGCCCCAACATTGGAAGGGTTCAAGGTCAGGTTGGACGGGGCTCTGAGAAACCTGATCTGGTTGAAGACGTCCCTGCTCATTGCAGGGGGGTTGGACTGGGTGATTTTTAAAGATCTCTTCCAACCCAAACTATTCTACAATTCTGGCGCTGAGACAATCACCATGGTCCATGCTGCCCTGCCACTACCATGGGTGTCCTCTTGCAGACGGACACCACCACCACGCACTGGCTCAGGGCTTCCCAGCACAGATCCCATGCAGCACCAGGGACGCAGCATCCATCACCCATCTATTAAAGACCAGGAGGAGCCCAAAAAAAGGGGAACAGCTTGCAAAAGTAGTGCCACCTCCCAGGGCAGAACCTCCTGAGGTCCACCAAGCAGCAACCACTGGGATGCAGAAGATGGATGGGGAGGTGCTGGCTCTGGCTCGCTGCTTGCTAAATCCCACCAAGAGACATCTAAAAATACATCATACGCATCCTTCTCATTATTTTTCGACGTAAGCAATTAGTGGAGTCATCCAGGGAAGCTGGCCAAGGCGAGCGGGAGGGGAGACGCTCTGCGTCAGAAGCAGTGGGAGGGATGGAGCCCACAAGAACTGGCTATTAAGATGTGGTCCACGTTATGAAAGAGCTTGAGACTTCTCCGTCCAGCGAAAACAGCTCCAACTAGGTTAGAGAAAAGACCGCGCTGCCTCCGCTTATCTCTGGTTTGGAGGGACAGAAGGAGGCTGGCGAGGGTCCAAAATCCCAATTAATTTGAAACGAATGGTTGTAGGGAAGAAAAAAAAGAAAATATCTGCTACTCCACGAGATTTTATACCAGGGAGCCAGGGACTGACGCTGAGAGCCGTGCAAGCTTGCTGGAGGTGTCAGAGCCTGAATCTTCTCATCACGGGACCACGTGTGCTCTGGGTGCAGGGAGGGGATTAATTAAGCACCCCATGCAAAAGTCTCCGGGTGTTCCCGACGCCCCAAGCAGATCCCGCTCTCCCGTTGCCGTTACCCACAAGCTTAACATCGTACGCCTGTAAATTGAACCAGCCTAAACCATCCTCCCTCCTCCGAACACCCACGCTGCTTCGCTTCCCTGGGATGTAAATACGGAGGGGTGGGAGGAAGAGAGAGGGTGGGGAAGGGGTAAACACCCCCCTCCGGGCTGGGGTCCTCCTCCACCAAAAGGCCAAGGCCACCAGAGAGAAGGGATTTCCATGCACAGAGAATAAAAGCAATGGGGAGGCGATTAAAGCAACCCCGAGCACGCCCCAGCAGAGGTGCACGTGCACGCCGGGGCCGTTTGGCACAGCTTGATTCTTTGCATCCTGAAGCAAAGTTCCTTGGCAGAGCCTGTAAACCCCCCCAAAATCATAGAATCATAGAATGTTTTGGGTTGGAAGGGACCCCTAGAGGCCATCTAGTCCAACCCCCCTGCAGTGCCAAACAGCTCTGCTCCAGCTCCGAGTCCAACACCAAGGTCTGGTCCTTGCCGCCGGGTGCTCATGGCTGGGCACGGGGCTGCCCTGCAGCTGTAGGGACCCCGAGCTGCCCCCTCCACCCTCCCCAGACCCTGCGAAAGGGCAAAGTTATTCCCTGGAGCTAAAGGGAAGGGGTTGGGGTTCTCCCTTGTTCCCTTTTCATCAGTCCCCGCTCTACCAGATGATCTGAGAACTCCACGTAGCTCTTTTAATCTCGAACGTCAGAGCTGTAATAAACCAGCTTTAAAAATCCGGAGGTTTCAACATCTGGATGCAATCTCTCCTTCAAGTGCAACTATTTCAGCGTGAATTAATATGAAATAGATTAAAAGAGCTTCTAGCTGAGCAAACAAGGCGGCTCGCGAGTTCAGGGGACTCCTACGCGTGCGCGACGCGCGCTTCGCTCGGACCAGCGCATCCCGGCCCCCGGTTCTCAGCCCCAAACTCCTCCAATTGCTCAGAAGCAACAAGGGCTGCGTCTTTCCTTCTTGCAAAGCCACTGTCCCCCCCAGAGGCTGCCCTGCACGCCGTTGCAAACATCGTTTGCCCTCCTCCAGACGGAGAGCGGCGTCACCGTGATTGAGGCTCATGAGCAAACGAAGCGGCCACGGGTGCCCAATTAAGCCAGAGTCGACGCCCCGGTGCGATTAAGCCGCCCGCAGCGGGCACGGGGTGCCCAGGCAAGCACCCAGCCAGGCAGCGCTACGGCTCGGACCCTGATTTTATCACCCCCATGCCATCCAACATTAATTCAGCTGCTGCTTCAGAAAAAATGCATTTTGTGCTTTTTTTTTTTTTGCTTTTTTTTTTTTTTTTAAAGCAGGTACGACAAAAGGCGTTTTGAGGGGGGTTTTTTGTCCTTTTTAAGCTGCGCAGCGGCTGGCGTCTTCCCCACCTTCCTCATCCTCTGGGCCCTGTGTGGTTTTCAGGCTGTCTGCAAACGATGCTGGTGGAAAACTAAGCAGCCACGACCCGCAACGGGAGCATCTCGAAGCCCTTTCCCCTTCGCACGCGCCCTTTGAACGACCGATCTTTGCGACGAGAAGGCGGCTCCGGGAGGACGCGCGCCGTACCACGCCAG